TAAAGCCTTCCCATTCGGATTCCTTCACTCAAATTTCCAAACCATCCTTTTCAGCCAGGGAACTAAATGTTGGTAAAAAAAAAAAACTGAAAAGAAAACAAATTGGAACTGACATTGGAGGGAGCCTTTTTTCGAGTCTGTTAACCACCAAAACCACAGTTCACATGGCTGAAACAGATCAGATACAGTAGAAGAAGGTCATGCCTACAAGTGACCAGGAAAAATGGACAGTCTCACCACCAAGAAGGAGAGCCTTTGAAATTAAGCCTAAGAAGAAACTGTTTTTAAATTGCTTATTATGGGGAGAAATAAAAAATAACTTGGTAATTAATATAACTAAAACATTATTTCCTCTAACTCTTCAGTTTGATGCATGTTTAGTTTTATCATATGGAGAAACAAAGAGAATTTTCTTGGATGTACAAATAATATCCTGAGATTTTCCCCAATGGGTCATCTAAGGAATGTTTAAAATTCATTGTAAAAAGAGTCTGATGACATATTATTACCCAAGGGCATAATACATAAACTTTTTTCAGTTTTGCTAAATGTGTGGTTCTCATTATTTACTTGTGTTATGAAATAATAACAATAACACTTTAATCTAGAAAAATAGTTCTAGGCCAAAAGCCAAAAGAAAATCTATTTAAATAATCCCACCTGAAATCTCCCCATTTACTGATGAGGCTCCATCTCTAATGTCTAATGTATGAAAAGTAAATTACTATTATACAGGATATAAAGAGTTTACAAACAAGGTAAGCAAGTTTCCAGAAAGTTGCTCCACATTCATTTCTTATAAGTTTAATGATTAATGTAACTAAAACCTCATTAGCCTTTATCATAAAATTTTAAAATTCAGGAACACACACACACACACACACACACACACACACACACACACACACACTGACCTTAGAAATAGAAACTAAACATAGAGAATTGAATACTTGGGTAAGAGAAGTTAAATTTGTAGTACATGTGCTCAATAAGAATTATTCCTGGCCATATAGGCCAGTCCTTCACAACCTTCTTATCAGCAAGGAGAGTAATATCACTCCTCATGTGTCACATGAGGAGATATATTCTCTCAGTCTATGAGAGACTGGGAAGTTTAAACCCACAAACTGAACGTCTGGAGCAACAAAGGGGATAATAGCAGCTATTCTGATTTCAGTGTATCCTGATCTGGTATCTGGTGATACTGTTGATAGGGGTACCTTTGATCAAGACCCAACTGGTAGGGGACCTGCGTGCAAGTTCAATTGGTTATACCCTTTACCCTGGCCTTCACAACTGCTCCTCCTAGTGAAACTAATCCCAGGGCTGAGGTTATTAACCCAGTCCTTTAATGTCCACATTGACCCTATAAGTGTTCTCAGGGACATTACACATGGTTAAGCATAGAAACCAAATAGCTGTGAGTTGGTTTCAAACAGACTGTATTCTGGTGGTCAACAACAAACAAGAATGTAAATTAATCAACAAAGACTTATCAGCTACATTAAAAATGTTTTTAAGGTATATCTAGTGAGCTGGATGGCACCAGCTAAATGACTTGGAAGAACAGGATCACCCTCAATGCTAAATAAGAAAGGTATTTGTATTATGACTGATGGAATATGTAATTTTATTCTCAGTAATACAGTTCCTGATTAAAAAATTACAGTCTCTTCAGGAACTACTTTGCCTAAAGAGTTAGCCAAAAATTCAGTAATAAATTACCATTTTTCTAATCTTATGAAATAATAGTTTAAAAAAATAAAAAGGGAGTTCACTTATTATAGTCTTAGGCATCATAATTACAACTGGATGTTATATAATTCCATGCATCAATGATTAATTGAAACAACAGCAACTGGAAAAATTCCTACATCTTATCATAATGTATTACTAATGAGTACTGAAGAATGAAAAAGTCAGGCAATATTAATTAAAATTTTAAAAATAAATGAAATGTCTATAGTCAGAAACATTTTCAAACTATATTGCCTTTCTCTTCAGTACTCTTATTTTTAAATGTTATTTAGTTTTATTTTTATGTGCATGTGTGCGTGCCTGAGTATATGTATGTGTGCCACTTGTGTGCAGGCAGTTGTGAGCTGCCATTTGGGTGATGGGAACTAAACCTGTTTCCTCTGGAAGAGTAGCAAATGCTGTTAACTGCTGAGCTGTCACTCCAGCCCAGTACCTATGCCTTAATTTTGTTTCTTACCTGTCAATTTTAATTTATTGCATTATAGTTTGTTTTCTCACACAAAATCCTAAAGCAAGTTGATGCACTTTGGTCTTAAGGGGGCTCTGAGTATCAAAGGAAGGAATGTGGTAGGAAACCCCAAAACAAAGAAAAAGAAATGCAGTGTGGTCTGTGACTGAGTATGAGTACACAAGTCTGCCTAGTAGCACAGAACACCCAATCAGGATATGTGTTGTTAGCATATATGGGAGACAAAGAAACTGAACTGTAATGGCAAACTAATGAATACACAGAGTCAGGTGTTAGCATGAATAAACTACTTCCAAGGAAAAATGTAAGCCTCAGTATCTCTTCTTACTCCCTATAGCACCTGTAACATATTAACTGGTGGAAGGGAACTGCTCGTTGACATCTAATGGATAGGGCCAAAGCATGCTAATAATACACACAATGCAAAGGACAATCTAGTTGAGGACATTTTTCCATGTTCTCCTTTCCCTTCCAACACTATGTGACTGATATCGATATATTTATATAAATCACATATATCTGGCTTACTATTTCTTCCTAGGTAATACAGAATAAGCACATGCTATATGTTTTTCAGTTCTAACTTTACTCCATGATACAGCACTGCATGTAATCAACAGCTTTGCATATGATCATTCTAATCCTGTGAGAGTGTTTCTGGGCTATAATTTTAGTGTTGGAACTACTAGGTAACAGACATGTTTAAACTTTACAAAGCAACTCATGTACTACCTGAAATTGTTGGCCAGTTAATATCCCGTGCAGGAAGACTTATCATATTAGGCCTGAGAATGCTATACTTAGAAGGGCGTCCTTGAAAAGTTTGCTCTTCGTAAGCACTATGGAACTTGAATATCATAAACATTCTCCCTATGTCTAGGTAAGAATAGCTCATTGTGCATAGAGAGTATAAACAATGTGTTTTATTTCACGTATTTGCTTTCCTTCAGAAAGTTTTGGTGCATGGTATGCAAAGGATAATACTATAATCAATCTCCCATGAAGCCTTACACAAAGATTCTTTAATTAGGTTTTCTGGCAGACTTTTATTCTACTCTTAGAACTTTGTGCCTGGTGTCTGCTCATTTGTTTTAGTCATCTCATTATGATAAATTACAGTCAGGCATATGCTATGTACAAAATCATGTGAATTTTCTTAGCAAATCACTGAATGTGAGAGTGGTCTGGGGGACTTCTTCAAAACATCTTCCCATAAACAAAGCAGAAAAATCCCAGTCTGCCATAAACTTGTTTTTCAGAATGTCATCTGAATTTGCAATATGCTTATATATCACTTATTCAAAAAGCTACTTTGTCAATGTTGCTTATAAATGACACACAAAAGAGAGAACCACAAAGGTATTATAGTGAAATTTTCTCACTTCGTATATGAAGAAACTGAAGCTCAAATAGGGTAATATATAGATCTGAAGTTACCCAGTAACTTCACGCACAGTTCTCAAATTCTCACTGGTTTGGTTTCTCTAAACACATGGCCACTTTTCTTACACTTGTTACTTCTTTCTTTGATTTGTTTTTATTGAATTTTTGTGCATTACATACAGAACATCTCAATCAATCTTAATCATCTTTATACCTCTGTCCCCACTGGTACCCTCCCATACCCCCCCACTGGAATTCATACATTCTGTCATTTGTATTAAGGCCTATTGTGTCAAGTTCATATCCCCTGATGTTCCTCAGTGCAAGTTCATCTACTGAGGTGTAGTTACCTTACCTGGAGTCCCTCACTTTAGGAAGACCAACTCTTCCTCACCTAGCAGCCATCAGTTGCCAGTATTTCTTCAGCTAAGATTGGGGTCAGCTGTCCATTTCCCCAGTTCTATGTTGGGCTTTTGTCTGCCTGAGTTTGCATGGACTTGCGTATGATGGCACCAATGATGTAGATTCATATGAGCAGGGTCCCAGGAGCTTGTAGGACTCTATTTCCATATAGTCGTGCACCTCCTCCCTGGCTCTTACAATCTTTCCATCCCCTTTTGTACAATGGTTTCTGAGCCCTGGGTGGGTGAAGTTTAATACAAGAGTCCTGTCTAAGAACCAGCATTCTGCAGAATCTTAATCTCTATGCTTTGGCCATTTGTGGCCTTTTGTGTTCCTGGTCCTCTGTTGCATGGCTTCATTAATGAGAACTGAGAGATTCATTAGCGACCTCTTTACCCCTGTTCTATGTTCTGTGAGTCTTAGGTGTAGCAGTTGCATTGTAGATGTGTCATTTAGGCCTAGGCAATTCATAGACAATGTCTGTATATGACCAGTTGAGGTACTTGGAAATAGTTTCCATCTGGTGCAAATAAAAGCTTCTTTGATGAGTGTTGACTGGGATATTATACCATAATGCTGATCCTTAAATACCTTTCAGGGCCTACTTTCTTGAGAACTATGTACTCTCTTATTTCTCAAATCTCTAGAGTCCTTGTGAAGTGAGTATATTGATTCCCCCCCCCAAAACATTGACTCTCAACAGAACTAAACCCAGCAAGAAAAGAAAAGTGAAGTTAGAAAAAAAAATAATGGTAACTACACAAAAGGGCAGGGAGAGGGTAGTATAAATGGTAAAGAAAACTGAATCCTAAGTCAAGTCATAGCCTAAATTCTCACAGCTCAATTAAAGGTCAGGGGTCAAAATCAAGGTCCTATAACAACTCATCCACAACTCCAGGATAGAGCAGTTGACTAGAACCAGAAAGTCATACACTCCTTTATTGCTTCCTAATGTATCTTTAAAACCTAGCAAAAGTAAGATGCTTACGTGCTCTAGGAAGCAGGGACCTATCTCACTGAGGTGGGGGTCATCATTGTTGTACTGCTTCTCCAGGTCTCTCACGAAGCCCATCTGAAATCTGTAGATGTCTTCAATGTTCCCAAAGATTATTTTCAGTTGCTCATCACTGAACATGTCCCTTCTCTTTCGGCACTGCTTCAGGTAGCCCTGCAGACAAAGGAAAAACCCAGGATGAGGATAATCCTTCTATCCCAGATGAATTGACTACTTCCTAAGTATTTGGGAGCCTCATTTCAGTTCCACAAACTAGGCAAGTAATAATTTCCATTTTTCATAGGCAAAACCTGAGATCTAGAAAAGGAACTCACTATACTCTTAATGACTCAGAATATATTGTCTCTGAAGTACATATTTTTCCACTATTTTTATGAGAAGAACCTCAAAAGTCAAAGGATCCTTTACGAGAAGATGGTTGAATAAAAATCTTTGAAATTCTGTTCTTTATTTGATTTACCAAAAGGGAAGCTTTCTTGGTGCTAGAAATTTAACTTGGATCTTCTATATTCTAGGCAAATGTTCTACCAGTGACATACATGTCCACCATCCCCCCAAATTCTTAATATTTAATATTGACAATAATCTAGGAAATGATGTCAGGGCAGGAAAAGTTCCAGTGATGAAACAGGAATTAAGAACATGAAATCTTTTTTTCCTTGATTATTTTGAGGAAAGGTCTCTGTGTAGCCCAAGGTGGCCTTGAGCTCAGAATCTTCCTTCCTTGGACCTACAAGAACTGAAATAACAGGTATGTGTCACTATAGCAAACTTGAAACCACTTTTTAAATGAATTTCTTCACTATCTAAAGTAGCTGGCCAGGAAAGAGTACAGGTGACCTTAGCAAGAAAGCCCAAGAGTAACTGGAAAAGAGATTTAGAATACATTTGGGAATACACATGTGAATTCATACACCTTGTCACTGATGAAAGGTGAAGGCCCAAAAGAAATTATTTGATGAGAGATCCCAAAAACAGTAGTGACAGAAAAGTCCAGCCTAGACAGTTCACTCTCTGAAAGTTCAGTACATAATTAATTAATAATGATGTCCATTCTTCCCATCTGTAAGACTTAAGGAAGGCTGTAAATATAATATATCCAATATGCAGCAAGGATGCTAGAGCTCAACACCAGTATAGAATGTGAAACAGAAATAAAGCAGAAGAAAATAATGTCTATAAAAGACAATGGAAAGCCATGCCGATGAAGCTTCATAATTCCCCAAATGTGTTATTCATTATCATTGCTATCACTGTAAATGAAATTGTTTTCTTTCACATATGTTGAAATTAAAGTACATATTAATAAGAATCTGACTACATACAGGATGGTAGGACTCTAGAATATTTTCTTAAAGCTAATGTTTCATAATAAATACATTTTTACATTAAATTTAATGGAATACTGTGCAGATATTAAAATGATCAAGAAGACCAGAGTCCTGTAGAGTCTGATTTTGTGTCTCCAAAAGTCCTTTCATGTGGGTCCATCCACTGGGCCCAACAAGAGTCCCATTCCTATAAGACACTGTCTTTCCTCCTCCAAGAAGCTATCAATTGCCAAAAGTTCCTTAAGTTAGGTTGCGATTTCTTACCTACTTCCTGTGTCTATGCTGGTGTTTTGTCTCATTTGAATTAGCATAGTACTTGTGCTTGCTGTCACAATTGCTCTAAGTTCATAAGAGTAAATAACTAACTTTCCGAAAGACTCTTTCCTTGTGGTCACTTACCCCTCTGGTTTTTACAGTCTTTCTGCCTACTCTTCCCCAATGATCCCTGCGCCTTGGGAGGCAGAGATTTGAAATAGTTGTCCTATTCAGGGATAACTACTTTGCAGCCTCTTCTCTGTACATTGACTAATTGCAGTTTTCTCTGTTAATCACCATCTGCTGCATAATGAAACTTCTCTGGTGAGAGTTAAGAGATGCATTCATCCTAAGTGTAGAGATTATAGTAAAGATGTATCACTTAAGGTCAAGTATCTCACAGATACTTTTTCTCTAATTATACACATACGCCTTTTAAGACTAGAGTTCAGTAGATTAAACCATTCTGTTATATGTGTGGATTCTGATTGCTTTTTTTTCTAAACTCCCTGTTAATGATATTTTTAGCTGTTTTCATTATTCAAAGTGACAAAAAGTCTTTTCCAGAGAATATTAAAAAAAGAAAATATAGCTATATGGGGGAGGAAATTTAATATCATCTTAATATCTCAAACCTGGGGGTTTATAGTATTTAGAATTATCCTCACAATGGCAAAGGGACAGAAGAATATGGGAGTGAAATGAAAATCCAGGAGAGATGACTAGCTTCTCTTCTTTTGACTTGACTAATGGCCATCAAATCTTACACAGCAGGGGCTTATAGGCTAAGCAATATTTGTCTTTTCACATGCATTCATTTTTGAAAGTATGTACATTTACGATGTTGTCCATGAAATTTGAAGGACCAAAATACTAAATGGTATCTTAATTCAGAAAAAAAATTACAAAATCCTTGAGAGGCAAAAGAAGAAAGAAGGATTGAAAAGTAGTCATTCCACTATGGAAGAGTAGCATTAAATTCTGAGACACACCTTCTCTTTCAGAGTAAAATTTAAAAAGAAAAACTGAATACAGCCAAATGAGACTAAGCAGAGCATAGAAAAGTCTGGAAAAGTAATACCATGAAGAACAATGGAGAGGAAAAGCATATCTGTCTTGTAGATGAAATAACCCATTCCTCCCCAGGTTGGTATTGGTCAGTGCATTATCACAAAAACAGAAAGTATCTAGGACAGAGGCTATTACCAGGTATGGAAGTGTAAGATAAACTAAAACACTTTCCTTCCCAACTTTGTTTTAATAAGTGTTTTATCACAGGGATTGCAAGAAACCAGAACAAGGGGTTTCTGAAGACTTGTCATAGGACAGAGAGGAACCAGAAAGTTTCTATGGTTCTCACTGTCAAGCATGCTTTAAATACACTCTATATCCATCTGAATAGTAGAAGTTAATATGATGTTGTGGTATGACATATAAAATGATTCGTGACAGTCACCTCTGCTTCCTAGGGTTAACGTGACCATGGGTAGGCGGGCAGGCAACAAATAGTTAAACATTCTGTGGGTGCTACTAAATCAGTCACAATTGATGTGAATCAGCCATGATATTTCTGTGATAATAACCAAGGAAGGTTGTTTATCCATTTCATTTTGTTCTTAAACTCACAAGGGATGTGTATCATGACCTAAACTCATTTTACCCCTCTTGCTTCTTTTCCTATGGTTTTACTATACTACACACACTACCACTGATGTGTGCGCTAGGTAGCTTTAGTTGTCAACTTGACACACCTGGGTTGAGGGAGCCTCAGTTGGGGAATTTCTTCCATTGATCTGGCCTGTGGCCATGTTTGTGTGGCATTTTCTTGATTGTTGAAGGATATGGGAGGACAAGCTCACTGTGGATGGTGCCATTCCTGGGCAAGTTGTCCTGTATTAGGCTGAGCACTGGCTGGGGAGAAGGTCAGTAAGCAGGTATTCTCCATGGGCTGTGCTCAAGGTTCCTGCTCTGAGTTCCTACCTTGGGGTCCCTCAGTGATAAACTGTGACCTGAGAGATGTAAGATAAAATAAAACCTGCCTGCCCAAGTTGGTTTCGGTCAGTGTTTTATTTTCACAGCAACTGAAAGTAACTAAAACAATGTGGAATTAGTGACTTAATGCAGGATAGACACCACAAGTGAGGATTTGCAGAGAAAATCTCAAATACTTCTGGAAAATAGGATATATCAAACAGCATATGACTCACTTAGAGTTAGGGAAATCATTTAGGGAAGGAACCTCACAAGTTTACACCTCTTATATACATTTTATATACTATAATAAAATAAAAACATAAGAAAAGATTTCATTTGTTGCCTATAGGGATAAGGCCTGGAAAAGTCCAGAAGGGCTGGAAAAGTCCAGAAGGCCTGGACAGTGCAGGGATTAGGAAAGTCATAAAACTCTGAGCTGATCATTTTAGGCTAACTAGCTTTCTCATTCTTTGACTCTAATATATTATACAAACATCATTACTTTTACAGCATGTTATTATCTATGTGTGCTAAGGTAGAATGACCGGGGTAGGAAATTTCATTTAAAAAAATAGCTAATAGGCTGAAAACCACAGGTGTATTTGTTGTTGCTGCTGCTATTTATTTATTTTTTTACATAGAGAGATTTACTATGTTGCTCAGGCTGCCCTCAAAATTCATGATCCTTACACTTCAGTTTCCTGAGTACTGAAATTAAAGGTATATGCCATCACATCTATTCAAAATTTCAGGTTTAAATATATCAAGTGAAAGTGATTTGAAACTGTAGCATGATAAACTTTATTAGACTAAAGAAAGAATTTTATATGGCGAAGCACCTGACACTACGACAAATCACTAGGCAAGTTTCTCTGGAGGTATTGAGGACAGAACTTTTTTTTTACATTTACATAATGCCTGAGCTAATTTACCCCCACAAAGACAGAAAGTACAGCAATTTAAGGCGTCTTTAGTTCCATTTGTATCTCTTATTGCAAAATTAATTCTGTTTATAAATGACAATATCACAGGTGGTTGGTCAAAATGATCTAGAGCTAAACCTTGAGTTTTTATTTATTTATTTATTTATTTTTTTAATTTTCAAATTTAATTTTCAAGTTTTTTTTAGAAGCATTTCATTACAGCTTTAACATATTCAGTAACACATTCCAGAGCAAGGATACATCTCTTTCAAAGGTGGCTGTAAATTT